AATTCCTTCCCTAGAATATCTGAGAAACTAAATTTACCGGAAATCTGAATCTAGTTCATCTAATACCAATTTTATTAGTTGAGTTTTGCAAGAAAGAAACTGCTGATGGCATATTTTTGCCAAAAAATTTTTGTAAACTAATTATTCATGCTGTAAATTTTCGACCAAGAATGCGCCTAAAATTACTAAATTTCAGTTGTAATTCAAATGCAATCCACCTTGATACTGATATTTAAATTATTTATCCAATCTTAAATTTGTACTGATAAATGCAACAATGCACAGTCCGTAAATGATGAAAACAGAACTGATTCGAAAAATCAATTAAAATTTCATCTATAAATGAAATTAAAAGACTCGATTAAATAGTTACCGGATATAAAAGTAGTTCTAGAAAAGCAGGAAATAAAAAACGAAAAGTTTGAAATATTTTCAAATTTCATGTCCATCATTACTCATTTATAAACAGTTGATGGAATATCAAAGAGCGAGATAAATGACAGTACACCACAGGAAGTAATACAAAAGATTTCAGAAAGATGGATGCCTAAAAACGAGGAGTCTTGAAAACAAGAAAAAAAAAGAAACAAAATTGGCTAGCACATAAAATTCCATTTTCATTCGCTTTCATACCATTTCAGATCCAATACTTTTTCCAGGAAACAATACATATCCACTATTTCAGAGATCTGAAATTGGAAACATAATTTTCATTTCAAGAAAATTTAAAATTTCAAAAATTTTCAGCCACTACAGCAAATATCCTCTGCACTCTTTCTTAATAAACAATACGAGAATATAATCTACTGCTTCGGATATTCGTCTTCTACTATTCAAATTTTACCCAGTTTGAAAACACTGCATTTCAAAAAAGTGCAATTCGAAAAAGTTATTTAGGCTTTCAGATATGACTTATATGTAAAACACGTCAAGTGCGTCATTTGGAAATCAAATTTTACTAAGCAATAGTGAAACTCGATGTTGCAAATAATTAAAAAGAAATAACTTACAACTTTGCTAGTAGGTTTGCCAGCTCCATGACCAGCTTTCACATCTACTCGTATGATGAGCGGATTTTTTTGGAAACTACCTGCTGAATGAGCAGCTTCGTACAACCGCGCCATATATTTTAGGGAATGTGAAGGTACTACACGATCATCATGATCAGCTGTCATAAGTAACGTAGATGGCCATTGATAGCCTTTATTCGGAATTTTGATATTATGAAGTGGGGAATATCTAGAATTGAACGTAAAATATAACATTTTTTAACATTAAAGAAATTGTACTGTTAAAGAATTGAGTTACAGAAGATTCATATAAGGTTATATATGCCCCAACTTTTGAGAAAAGAAAATCCATATATGGAAATGATTTCGTTAGCATTATAAAATTGACATCTAACTTCAGCTGGCAGTGAATTTGAAGGATGATTCCAACTTCAGGCAAAAATAAATAAATCATTAGTATATTTTAAAGCCGAAGGATGAGTAAAAACTGGCTATGCCACTAGTACCAAATTTGTTAACATCGAACTTAAAATCAAACTAAAATATTGAAAAAAAAAGTAAATTTTGGTGAAAAAAATTAGGGAAAAGAAGCATTAGATATTAGGAAAAATTTGTGCAACGCACTTGTAAATAAATTCAAAATCGGATGCCTCTTCAGGATTGCCATACTCTGGTATCCATGCATTACCAATAGTAAATTTATGATATCGCAACATATCGAGCACACTGAAGAAAAGAGCTCCTGTACGGTGATAAAAAAGACAATTATAATAACAACAACGTAAACAAAGTAGTAACGAAAACAGCAGTGATAAAAAACAATTCATAAACTTGCCATGTTTTTTTTTAAAAAAGTTCTCTCTTCTCCATTACTAGTTGCCCTATCCTCAATTCTTTTGTTTCAGTTATAATTCAAATCTTTCCTACAAAAAATATATCAAAAATTTCATTATGAGCAACTATTTTGCCAATTTCTTTATTCATAAAAGAATAAATAATATCTGTTGTCTCATGCAGTGTTCATATATTAGTTTTAAACTTATAACTACAGAAATAACACAACATTTCATCTAAGTATATTTAAAAGAAACTAACATACCCGACTTGATTCACAACAGCACCAAAAAGTTCTGGACGTTGCTGTGAAACCGCAGCAACCAATAAGCCACCATTTGAACCACCACGTATAGCTAATCTAAAGTGAAATTCAGAAAATTTCAAAATCCGAAAAATAGTATGCTAAACTTGGTAGAAATACTATATACATTGTGAGTCTTTTTTTTTGTAGAAGACAATAACTGACTTCATTGTTTTTTAAGACTTGTTGATAACTTCGTATAAAAACAAAGTAAATTTTATCAATAGCTAAATCTGACTTTCTTGGTAATGTATAATTGTAATTGACAAGATATTCAGCAGCAGCTATAAAATCATCAAAAACATTTTGTTTTCGTTTTAGCATTCCACCTTCATGCCATTTTTCACCATATTCACTGAAATGTATAAATGTCATATATACCTTGTTTTCCTTTTTTTTTTTTTTTTTAATATCGCAGAAGCTACAATATCTTCAAAACCACAAAAGTTCAAGAACTGATTGCGATAATAACCCATGAGAGCATACATATATATTCCAGCATTAATATGAAATTTAAAACCTTTAGTCAGCGTAATTCTAAAATGAAGACTAATAATTTAATCTCAACATTTTAATTAGCACAAGTAACTGATGGCGGAGAAACTTGGATATATTTCAGACAAAGAGTAATTTCACCCACAATACAGGTGGAACGTGCGAATTATACGTAGCCTCCCTTATAGGTGTGAGAAAAAAGAACTTTCAGGGAAATGCATTTTTTTAAACAGAAATTTTGAATTTGAATTCAAACTGTGCGATATGTGTTGCATCCTTTAAAACTGTAATAATTTCATGTCAGCAACAAAGATTTAGCATTGTAACGCGAAAAAAATCGAAGATTTGACAAAACATTATGATATTTGATGAAATGAGAAACAATATTTGGTACATCTAAGTCACGTTATGCGTTAAATGATTGGTTAAAACCAACTTACTGAATGCTACAAATATCAAACAAATAATTAATATAAGAATGTAACATGTTGTGCAAATTGGAAATAAGATTTACCTTCCACCACGTAAATTAGCTAATGCAAAAACACCCTTGAAGTTATCCAGGAATAAAATACGCGAAACAGCGAAATGTGGCATTACAGCAACGTTAAATCCACCATATCCATAAAGCATAACTGGGGTATTTCCATGCAAAACCAAATTTTTGTTGTGAACAATGTAAAGCGGCACCTGAAAGCTTCTTTTCCTCATTTATTTCAGATTTTACTTCTGATATGCCATTATCATTAAAACTATCTTCCGACTGTTGTTCAAATATTCTGGACTCCTTTTACAACTGTGATTATTATCATCATTTCAATAGTCATGATCGTCATACATGATTCGCATGTTGATAACTTCACTACCATAACTACAGCTATTTCTCAAACTAACATTGTTATGATGCAACTTGAATTTATAGTTTATTCGAAATTAACAGACCAACCTTTGTTCCATCCTTGCTTTTACAAAAAACTTGCTTTATAGCGAATTTGCTTGTATCTACGTCCTTTATAGCGGTTCTCCGAATTTCCTGGAAATTTCTATACTTCCATAAACTTTTGTTCAAACAAATATACGTTAATACAGAATTCGATACAGAATTCGTTGCTGAGAAATTCATACTTAGTATCACATCCTAGTGCAATAGTGATGGAATGGTAAAAAGTGCGGTGGAAAACATTTCTGAGAACTTGAAGCAAATAAAGTGAGAAAAATGGCTCAAAAATCCCCGCCAAGTAGATGGATTTTTTCAGGATGAATATATGTGGTTATAGCTAATGTGATCATATCAAAGTTGGAAAACAAACAACGCACCACAAGACTCTATGATTTTGATGATGCAAAATCATTGTTAGTTAAGCCAGAAAATAACAATATTCAACCTTCAATTTAACTTGATGTGATGGTTCTATGCCTTTGAAATCAACATAATAAACAACACCCGGAGTAAGAAATGATTCGAATAGCAGGAACATCTCTGTATGATTTTTACGACCAAAAAATCCAGATATTGTCCCTATTTCCAATGGTATTTCATAGAAACGCTGGCCCGTCTTTGGACAATGCACATAAAGTTTACTCTGAAACATTTGTTACCGTTATGCTAATTAAATCGGTAAAATTTGTGTTAAAAAAGTCTCCAGAAAAAAACCCTGATTATATTCAAGAAAAAGTAGAATTTTGAGGTTAATTTTTCAATTTACACGAGCCCAAAATAATCACCTTAAAATTATTTCAATGCAAGGAAAAGATTTAAAGAAAAAACCATAAAGTCACTTCCAACTAGATTACTCCAGTGGTACAATGATAAACCTCATGATACCTTAACATCCTCTATATATGAAACCACCAATCGATCTCCACCAACATTTACCACCCATTCCAACTTATTGTTTTTGTCTTCCGGAATTATCGTTTCCCATGCAGAAGGCCCTTCGTTAGCTGTTGAGATTTTTACCCTTATTAGCTTGAACATTGGTGCATCGTGATTCGTTAGAATTAGAGCTTTATCACCATCACTATCAATAAGCTAGAAGAATGCTTGATTCAGTAATTTTTAATTTATTTAACCATTATAGCTGTGCTCAAATACACTTCAGTATGATTTAAAGTGATAACGGAAACTGGGAGATGGATGCTTTACAGATTGAATCCAATGTTGAGAGATTATTCCTGAAACTTGTAGCTGTAATATACCGGCTGCAGCAATCATCTACAGCTTTGATATCTACAGCTTTGCTATAGATCAAGGATGACTACTAAAAAGCTGAAATCGAACTAGTCAGAAGTTTCTTTCTTTTTTTTCGAAGTAGTCATTGTGAACTAGTTAGAAATTGCTAATGAAAATGAAAGAGATTTACTTCATATTTCGCATCCAATTTGTCGAACAGTGGCTTCAATGGTACTTTACCCGTAATTTTTTGCTGCGCTTCTTGAACATCGTAATAGTAAAGCATATTATAGGGATCACATCCTCGACTGACATCCACGATCAAATAATGACCATCTTCTGTTACGGTACCCGAACTACATGATGATTACGGTATTGGAAGTGAAATAAATGAAAAATAATTCAGAATTAAAGATGAATCAAAGGCAATTTGACAATCTTCTAATTCTAAGATATCTATAAACCACAAACAATAAGGAATCCATTTCCGCAAACTTAACACAATGTATTTCCTGTTATGAGCTCTCTATCATTCCTACACATTTCCACTGGTAATACCACAACAGTTGGCTGATTCTTCTGAGTAAATGACGTGACAGAAACGCTTACAACGGAGGACTTACGAAAGGAAATGTTACGGTAAACAAGTATGGAAAGATAGAGAGAAATAATTCTCGTTCATATTAACACGGATGAACAAAACACAAACCACATATATTCAGGATGTGATCGAAAATCAGCAACCAAAATATCATCACTCTGTGGAGTGCCCAATTTGTGAAAATACAACGAATGGTATTCGTGTTTTTCCGTCGATGACCCTTTCAGTGCACTTTTATGTTCGGGATACTTCTAAAATTTGAAGTTCATCTTATACATTGACACTTTTTCGTCTGCAAAATTGCAATGCAATAAAAATCTTCAATACTTATTATAACTTCAGACTGAATCGAAAAACCATGTACCGAATAGAAAACTCCACTGTTATCGATCAGCCAATCTAGGTCGCTATGTTTAACGCCCACCACTGTATCTTCCAAATCAGTACCATCAGCTTTTTTAAACTGGAAAAAAAGCGCATAAGATAGAGTGACTAATTCTGAAGATTCCAAAAAGCTTCACCTAATAAATATTCGTTCCAAAATGATTCAAATTTAAAAGAAGCCTATACTATTTAAACATCTGGAATTAGTAGCATAAAAAATTTCTCTTCTGCATAAAGAACGGGGTTTTTTTTTTCGATTACTTCAAATTTAAAGACATCAAATAGTTGGCTTCTCTGTCTGAAATTTGTCATAAGCGATGTTGAACTGATTTTTTCCCCCTCCCCCATTAGGCTACCATACAAGCATCCAAATGTAAAATGAACTGTAGTGCGTGGAATATTACAAAAGAATTTGAGCAACGTATGGTAAAAATCTATTCCACCATTGACTGGGTTAAAGTAACCCTATTGTTTTCTCGTCTTAAAATTATAACATGAGTAAAATATCTTATATCAACTTGCACCATTTCACTACATGATTAAACTTTTACATGATTTAATTTGATATAAAATACCGTTGTAAAGAAATTTGGAAATTTTACCTTTAATGTCATCCAGTCACTGCCTTTTTCTGAGATACCATACACCAATATAGAACCATCATGAGAAAAACACTGGTTACGTATAGAGGTAGTACCATCTTCGGAGAATTTGTTTGGATCAAGAAATACCTCACTTTCATCAAGCAACGTTTTTTGACGATACAAAACGCTAACAAATAAAAATAATATTCATAATCATAACGATATTTTGAAATAATTAAATGAAAGAATACGAATGGAAAGATAAGCTGGAAGTTAACTGTTCATGATTTACTTCCTTACTTGACCATGATTTTCCTAATCTCTTCAATTGTCCGAACACCACATCATCACATGGACGGTATACATCATGGATATCAAAATATGAGGTGAATTTTTTCATCTCGAACTAATAACTTTGGTTAGTCATAAACCCATTGAATGGTGCCGTCCCAGATTATAATCAATAGAAACAGTCGAACATACTTACTTAACAATCAATCCAGTCATCGGACAGAGAAATCGCTTTAGGAAGAAATCTCAAAGATGAAATCTCTTTAGGTTTTAATCTACTAATTGAGAAACGATTTCAGAAGAATTTTATAATACTGACAGCGGTTCGCATTAAAATGTCGAAAATTTTCACACCCTTTAAAATCTTGCCATGAAAATTAAGAATTAAAAAATTATAAGGAAATCCAATTACGTACCTTTGGTTCTGTAGTCCCGAATTATGGTAATAATAGTAATAATCACCCCTTCTGCTCGTACAACCAAATTTTTCATAATCCCAAAGTTTCGTCAATCTGGAATTGCCCTATTAAACCAAAGCATAATTCAAATGTTCAAATTATACTCTTTGAACTGCCAGGAGGAAAACCCATTTTGAAATCAGTTTATACCTTTTTTTAATTTTCTCTCTGTACGGTGAACTTGCAATAAATGGCTGAGAGATTGAATTCAACTGCATGATATATTCCTTAGTTTCATTCAAATCCGGATCTTCCAGCCATCGATAAGGATCTGCGACCTACAACCGATCATTCGATGAGCTATGAACATTTCAGAATTCGGAAAAAAAAAGGCTTCTTTTGTGGACGATAATTTTCAGTTACACTTCGAGAAGGCTAACTTATCCATCCATAGCAGGTAAGGATTAGTGTAGATGAACTCAAAAGCAAGAACAAAAGTACTGCTTTAGTACTTTTAACAAAAGTACTTTGATTTCTATAATTGTGATTAGTTTTAGACCCCAATCTGTAATTGATTTTCACCAGTAATATCTAAAAATCCATTAATATAAATAAGAATTCCCATAAAAAAAGATTTCAGAGAGAACCAAAAAGAATTACGTTAATATGCTAATTCTTTGTGGAAATAAAAGATAAATTTTATTCCTTTCCCTTTAAATTTAAAAATTATAGCAATACTAAGTGGTTTAGTAATTTTGATTACGAAGCTTACAGACTATTTTCAAGAAGCTGAGGATAACATTTATAGTAGCCATAAGGAAATGGAAGAATTATCAACCAGAATGAATTGTTTCAAGTTCCAAATCTCTTCCAGCGCAAAATCTGATTACAATTCATCGTCCATTTGCAAAAGCTATCAAAAACAAAACTGATAATAAAAAAAAAAATGTCTAATTATAAAGAATTTCCAATCTTTACTGACCTTAGTCCCATGAAAATCATCCAAAATTGAATTATCTTTTCGGGCAAGCGGATATTTTGAGGAATCGATGCTAATTTTAGCACCTTCATCCATATTCGTCGAGCGTTTAAAATGATTATGTTGCCATGCAGGAACAGATGAATGCAATGACCGGATAACTTGAGCGGGATATCTACACTCTAAATCGTTTATCAAACCAATTATTATCAAATGGAAGAGTTGAAAACATCTAGCAGTGTTGCTCATAGCGTATGGAAACTGAACAATATGGTGAAACATTCATAATTAATAGAAACAAAAATTTTTTAGGAATGAAAAAGAAAAAAGTATTAGTGATCTTTGCTTTCGTTGCAAAAAAAAAAGAAAATTCTCACTGTACCATTTAGGAAAAGAAATCAAATAGAGTGAAAATTTCTTCAAGGACATTTTTTTTCTCTCAGTTCCTAATTAAATGAAAATATTTTCAACTTTTCCGAAAAAAAAAAAGCTCATAAATCATTCAGATTAAGAATCAAAATACATTCACCTTAAAATAAATTGAACATAACCTATAATTGATTACTGTTTAAAGCAGAATTTTCCTAATTATTGTTATCCATTTATACTTTCAGCATAGCATTTAATTTTCCAATAATGAAACATATTGGTTCTTACTGTAAGATAAAATAAAACAACTTAGAATGATTAATTACATCATCATCTCTTCAAATGGTAGTTTATAATCACAATTTCTTCTTTTTTCTCCTTTTTCAAAAATCACAGCTATTTATTAAAACTACAGCTGTCAAAGAATGAAAGAAAACAAGAAAAAAGAAAGAAAGAAAAACCTTCGATCCAACAGTAACAGTTATTCAAGATAAAAATATGATTGAAAAAAAAAAGAAACGAAGTAAAAAAGTAAACAAACGGTTAAATGAAGAGAAAGAACAGGTTAGCGCATGCCTGATTATTGATACCTTCAAAAAAATTTGTTTTGATGATGTTTTATTTTTATCATTTAAAAGGAAATAAATTTAGAAGTTGAGTAAAAAAGAAAAAAGAAAAAGGTAAACAAGATATGAACAGACTAGAAAGCTTTAGGATAGTGGAATATATAAATAGATGCAAAAGACCTATACTAATCTAATCGATAAATTAATGCGTTATAATTTTAAATCATTCTATTTGATATTAAAAAGAACGAAATTAAAAAAAAAAGCACTGAAATTAGAAATGGATTTTATGATTAAAAAAAAAAAGAAAATGCTTAGAAAAAGGATTTACGGTATCGTTGATGTGTAATATGACCACCGGCATAGTAGAAGAGTAAAAATACAGCTCGCATATTATGAGATCGATTGAAATTGTAATAACTGATCGAAGCCATTGAAAAGAATGAAATAACTGAAGGAAATGATATGTTATGATAAAATTTATTCAATTTAAAAAAAAAAAGACCTCGAATCAATTCAGATTATACTAAAAAAAAAAAAAACGAATGAATTTAAAGAAAATTGTATTGCTCTACAATTGATAAAATTCAAACTCTTGCAAATTTTGATTTTTTTTTCCTGTAAATTAATACAAAAAAAAAAATCCATAATTCAATATTTCATCGTTACATGTAAATAAATCTTAATTAATTAATCCCTGCCAAATTAACATAAACGAATGCAAAACTAAAATTTTTTGTTTGGGACTATTAAAAAAAAAGTAAAATATCATTAATTGTAAACCAAATTAGCTTGATTTAAAAAATAACTAACGATTGAATTCAAAATAAAAAGAAAAACTGAAGCTTTGTTTTTGCTGTTGTAACTTTCAAAAAAAAAAAAAAAACGTCCCTATGTACCTAATAATTAAATCAGATGAAAGTTAGGTCAAAATTCTCGAAACTTATTAAATGTTGTCAGTTTTTACATCTTAGAAAAAAAAGAACCAAACCTTTTTTAAATTCTCAAATTCGATGTAAGGTCAACATTGTCCTTGTCTAAACAATATCCTATGAAATCATCATAGCTTTTATAAGCTCCTTTAGATTTGAAATTGATTAAATGACCAGGTCTATAGCTGCACTTTATAAATAGGATAAAATTTTTTCACAATAGTTTATTCTAGCACTTTAATTTAAAAAATAATAACACCCATCACTTTATGATCATTATAAGTACTGCGCTCCCCAACTGGTAAAATTAGCAATATTTAATTTTTGGAAAAAGAAAAAAAACTCAATTCACCTTTTCTATTTATTGACTTTTTTTGTTATTGAAAATTAATTAACCTCTGCTAATCTCTCAGATCAATTAATTCCCAAAATTGATATTCTCCAGAGTAGGGTCACTCCAAAAGGTTGATAATTCATCCCGATAACTTCAATGCAGATTACAGCTATTTAACATTTGAAACTGATATGATGCGTCGCGGCAAATAAATATATGGACTCAAATCCACAAAATACCAAGGCAATTGAAGACAAAATATAAATTCTAACTTAAAAGCATGAAATTAATTTCAATTTCCAATTAATCAGAAATTTACGGACCTTTTTTGATTACACTATAGTATCATGATGGAAAAGCAAAACATGTGATATGCAGATCAAAATCCTTCCTCATTTTTTACAAAATTCAAATAAAATTTTCCAGTCATAAACAATTTACTTTTTAACAAAATCCATTCAATTACTAATTTTCTAATACAGCACAGCCTACATTACTACCCGATTTAAAGGCTAAATAGGAATTTGAAACAACAAACGAAATAAATAAAAGATTTCAACAAGTAAAATAGATAAACCAGAAAAAAAAGGAAACGAAAAACCAAGCAAAACTTTTTAGCAAATGTCATTTGAACATTTGTATACTAAATAACTTATTTGCTGAATAAATCCGCCTTATTTCCACAATATAACATAGGGAAATTTCGTGAGCTATTTATCACTATTTTATATTGAAATAACAGATGAAAATTTCCAGCTCACAGTGATTAATTAAAAATTTAAAATAATCGATTGAGAGGGAAAATTAAGCAATCCATAAAATTTGATGTACGATAATTTTTGAGTGTAAATCATACAATGTTATGAAATAATAGCAAACAGGAATAAACTGTGTTACCATGAAGAAATAGAATTAAAAAGAGTAAATTTTTATCGATTTAAAATCATAATATATGTTAATATTACGATTCTATAAGGATAATAATCATAACAGTCAAAAACATGAAATTCAAACCAAAGAATCAAGAAAAAGTGATATAATATCGTTTCCTAATATCTGTTAGCAGTTTTTAAAACAATGGCATAAGTTAATATGTTACACTATTTTCTTTGCTCCTTGGTTAATAACATAAATATAGATATTATAAAGAAAAGTATAATTGCGTCAATAACAAAAGTAATAACAACATTGGTTGGATAAAAGTTGAATTAACAGTAAAATTATAAGAGCAAATTATGTAAATTAAAATCACAGCAAGCAACAATACACACACATTATATTAATACATTGAAATCACTTATTTGCTCCATTATAAGGAAAAAGAAACAATAAAACACAAAAAAAAAAAAGAAAAAAACCAAACGATATATGTATTCTTCTAATACCAGGACAACATGTAAAAAATGTATGTGTACAATACAGTTTCACCAATAACTTGAATAACTTTACCAATAGCAAAAAACAAAAAAATTAGCAGAGGAATTTTGTAATCTTCGAAAAACAACCAGTCCTTTTCCGAAAAATTGCTAACCGCTAATTTGAAGTGTATTTACTCATTATTTCCGGCATACAACTGGATCGTAATCAGATATATGACCAAATTACATGCTTAAGTTTAGCCAACTGAAGTATTAAAGTGTAACCAGAAAATCTATAATACGTTACATCGGCAACTAAGCATTTGAAAAACTGTTCGAATCAGCAAATATTAAAAAAAAAAAGAAAAAGAATTTCCTAATCATTCATAATGACATTAACTATTCCCCATGTTACAAAACATAAACAATTTCTCGTGTTAATAACTATTCCCCATGTTATAAATGTAACCGTCTATTGACGGCTATTATTGTACGCTTCTTTCAGATGATCCAACATGTCAGACCTATGGTGATGTTATTTCCCCCCCCAAAAAAAAAAAAAATGATATCGAAGATAATTCTAAGAAATTCTCCTAATTTGTTAATTCTTACTCCACAATGTAATGCATTATCCGACTAAGAGCGAAGGATAACAATAGATGATAGTTGCTTAAATCAGAAGTATAAAAATAACACAAAGAAAGCAACGTTGGACCATTTGAATTCTATTAATCACGTGCTGACAATGGTGCTTTGGAAGTTAAATTTGCTGAAAATTTTGGTCCTTGTTGCTGTTGTTGTGATTGTTGTTGCTGCTGTAGTTGTTGACATAATCGCCTTACCATTTCTTCTAGACGACGTCGTGATTTTTGCTCTCGATCAACTGTTTTATTTAATTGCAATAATTCCTGGAAGAAAAAGAAGAGTTTAGCTTTGAAATTGTTTTTTTTTTTAAGGAGTCATTTTTTTTAAGAAAGAACACTTTAATTGTTATGAAATAGATTAGAAATAGTGCTACTCTGCATGTAGATATCCTAATTTTGTCTTTAAACGAACTAATGAAATTAAATTTCAAAAGAAAAGGAAATGAAATTACATTAACCTTTTGTACATTGTTAAGTTGATCTCTTAACGCATATACTGTATCGACAAGACTTCTGCAAAAATTTAAAAATATCAAATTACATATCTAATGACGCAAGTACAACCTATAATTCTCGGAAAGATGTGAAAATGACCGTGCCGTTATGGTAATACTTGAAATGAGCTTTCATTATCTTTATAATTTATAAGTAAAATTTCAAAAAAAGAAAAACTCAGTCTAAAGTCAGCGATGAGTGTTCCACGTACTGTGCATCCGTTTATTTGAACTGTCAATCATCAATTCAATTTATTCTTAACGTTTTTTATTTATGTATTTTTCTAAATAACGCAGAAATTACTGCAAGTATTAGACTCAAAGGTACACTATAATACTTTGATCGACCATTTTTAGATTATCAGAAAAAAGACAGATTAAATTGAGAGCAAATCATGATTCCTTTTCAAGAGAATGATGCAAAGCGATTTCCAGAACGTAATCATGCTATCAGTGGACATTCAATCTCGGTGATCCCAGCAATCCGTATTTCAAGTAGTTCTAATTTCAAATCCGCAGTGACTAGCAAGATTATCTGCATTGTGAATCTTATAATTGTTCACTGGTCCCACATATGCTTATCGAGCGATATGCAGGCTTATGGAGCTCATCTTGTCTAACCTCATTGATGGATTGCCGAAAATTCGAAAGTGATAGTGATAAATAAATTCAGATATAAACTTATGTCGAATAACTTGTTCTCGGGATTCAGATTCCGATTTGAAGACATGTGGGAAACCATTCCACCAATTTTTATTATCTCAATACTCACTTTTCTTTGACAACCACTTGATCACCGATCATTTCTTCCACAAACATTTTTTCATTTTCAGCGACAATTAACTGTGGTGCATCATATTCGTGGACGGATGAAGATTGCGTTCCGTTACCAGCACGTTTTGTTGGTAGCGTTGTTGAACTATAGCCTTCTACGATATGCAGCAGAAATGCATCTTCCTGATCACCTTGCGATACTGAATGAAAAAAAAATTAGCTTGGTAAAGTAATATTGACATTTATAAAGAACAGAAGGTAGAAACTTGATGAAATTTGTCACAAAGATATTTCTTATTGAGGTTGAATTCCAATTAAGGATCAAATTTCAAAAATTCACAGATGAGAAAGAAAAGTAACGAACTCTCTTTTCGTAATTTAATGTTTGTTTTTCTGGAGTAATCAACGGCATAATTGCCTCGAGCAGCTGGAAATGGTCGTAAGCAATATCCAGAATACATTTTGGTTCGCTTCGAACGTGGGTCCTTTGTACTTTCACTTTCATTAATTCCCTCGGGTAGCACCATTTCCAGTTTGTGATCAAATCGTAAGCCTGGTGGAAGTCTGCAATGTCGAATTTTTTAAATATTAAAAAAGAAAAAAGAAAGAAATTCAATTATATAATTTGATATAAAATGTGAACAGCAAATGGATCAAATCAAAAATTGTTTGCGACACTTTTATAAATTATATTGAATTGAATTTGGAATAAAATAATGCAATTTAAAGATAAAAAGGACGCCTGATCAGCATCTAGAAAGACCAGAAAAAATAAAATTGCATTAATTTAGTAAACGACAATAAACAAAACTGCGGTGAATTATCATGGAAATTGGTATCAGAAAATAAAATAAAAGCACCGTAAGAAATATGGATAAAACACCAATGAAATTAAAATTAAATTTTGAATGGCATCCAAAACCCAAGAAATTTCGATATTTAATGGCAAAGAGATAACAAATAAGTGTACGAAGTGATGAAAGAAATTTAAAACACTCCAATAAATCTAAAATAAAATTAGCGATTGTATATAAGGCAACTGCCGGAACCCAGAGAAAAACGAATAGGGACAATGCGGAAAAGAACAGTTATAATAGGAAAATGATGAGAAAGGCGATATAGAAACGGAACGAATTACTTCGAAAATTTAAGAAAAAAGAAAAGTGAGAAAAAGCTCTTGAGAAATTACGCTCTTGATGATAATGTGAATTACTTCCTAAAAATATCAATGGGCCAACAGAAAGTTCGTTTTTTTTTTCGTGTGCATTCATATAGTCAGCGATAAGGGATTGAACAAATAAATCAGCCAACACTTCCAACAAAAAAAAGAAAGGAAAAAAAAGAGATGGACTTTAAAGAAGACTGTGAAAGAAGCGATGAAATAAGCGGTAAAAATTAAACTTACGCATTTCGTTTAGCATTATCTGCTTTAATTGCAACTGGTAGCTGTGATATTTCTGCCTTACGAAGAGGTGATATTTCAGCCTGGAAAAAAAATAAGCTATTAAAAAATTAATATGTTAATAATTACTAAAAAATATTCTTAAAATTCTCTCTACAAAATTTGCTAATCCAATTAAGAAATTCACTAATTTCATTCAATTCTAAAAAATTTAATTAGTACCGCATTATGAATAGCTACATAAATAGCTACTTGCAGGGTGGTTTTCTACTGGCACTTTTTCAAATTGATCGTTGACTTTTTAATTCCATAGCACCAATAAAAGCTCACCTATTTTCTGGGGGACTAGAATGAAATACCGATCGAGTTATCAATTCAAGCTGTTTGATATGCTTTAATTAATTAAAAAATAAAGTCGAACTAAAGAAAAAAGAGCGAAATAAAAATAAAAGTTAAAAATAGGTAATCGTTGAAAAAATCATTTGAACAATTATGAATAAATATAGCCGAAGTAACAATTATGTTGAAGAGAGGTATTATCAATTATGCACGCTTAACAGAAGTTCAATTGTAGATATTTTGTCCAATATTTTGATAGTAAATCAAAGCTACCTATTTATGGTCTCTTTACTTAGTAAATTACCCGATAAATTAGCATATTGTTCATTTAATTAGTTTTTATTATATGAATTATCTTTTTAATAAAATAGTAACTATTTTTTTAAATATTTTACTTTATGAATTACTGAAACTGATTGCACTGCCTCCTTTTTATCAATGCTTCATTTGACGCTAAATTTCTCAAAAGTGTAATACTTCACTGGAAAACTGAAATTAGTGAAAATTTTCATAAATCATTCAATAGAACTATTCATCTTCCTTTTGATCGAACAGCTAAACAGGAACTCATCGGATCCAAAAATAGTTTCTACCCTTAAGAATCAAATTGCTTAGACTTTTCGGAAACATTCATTATTATGACAATAATCAAACAGTTCTTCTTGTGATTCATAATAAAACACAAGAAATAAATAGTACATGTTTGTGATGATTAGCTGTGTTCTTGGTACCAAAGCATGGAAAATGAAACCAATGAAGACAGCATGTTGTAGTCGCTAGGCCATTTCCCTCATTCGACATCGATCATTGTGTCAATGAGCACATTCTACTACAGACAATATTCATATAAACGTATTCGCACATTTCTAGACATAATCCAGCTTTGCAAAGATAACAACAACATTAATAATAATGACATATATGCTCGATGTTTCAATGTCAAAAATATCCATATGTGCAAGAAGAGACCAACATAAAGCTCCGATTATTCTTGGGAAACTGGATTTCACCACAGACAACAATACAGTGATGATAATGATAAATGGAAATAATTTACAAGTTCATTAAATTTGCCACCTTCTATTGCCACTCATCCAGTTCTTGCATAGCATAGTGTAACAAAAAGCCATCTCGAAAAAGGAAGCTGCTTCCTGAATTTCTATCATATGAGAACACTGCTCTTTTTTATTCGAAATACGGAAAATCAATATTAATGGAATCAACTACGGACTATCCAGACTAGATTAGGCTATAGCATTAAGCTTAGAACAAAACAATTCTCTACATCTTTACCAGAAGTATCTTGCTGAAAATGCCCGGAAAATGACAAATTAGTGACTCGACATATTCTCGGATATTTTGAAAGTTAAAATTGTTTGAGTCTGTTAAATTTCTTATTTCTGATTTAAAATCAAAAAAAAAAAAAACGTTCCAATGAAAAAAGAAATTCATGGACTCCGTAAAACGATAACTGATTTTAGAAAAAAAATTCAAGAAATATATTTGAGATGGGAGTAAATTAAATCACAAGAAAAAAGAGAGATAAAGTTAAATAAAATTCCAACCATCGATACTCAGACTAAATGGTCCGCTTAAAGAGATAAAAACTGTTGGACAATGATAGACTAATATGAACAAATGATAATTATCCAAAAGCATTATCAAACACCAGAACCACTAAAATGTTATTCTTTCCCATTACCATGATATTTCGAATTTGCGAAATGTCATTGTCACTGAAGATAATTAAAAAATTCAGCAACCAAAAGTAATACTGGTAAGAAATATGACTCGAACATGAGCTTATAATTAAAGCACCGTCGTCTTCATTTGAAACAGAATACCGAAAGAATAATATATACATAATATGTTATATATACGTATGTATATGTGTATATGTGAGTTCGTGTTTGTGAAGTGGGTGGCACAATCGGTGTAAGCTAATGCTCGTTTTTTTTTTCTCTGATCAACAAAACAACAATATCAATAACAATTTGAACTATCTCCAACATAGCACTGTCCATTTTAATTCTTGTTGATTTGAAATAAAACAAAATTTCACTGCCTTTTTGGTACGGGAAAAAAAAAAACTAACAAGATAAATTCATAACAACAGATATATAATCAGTGGAGAGATTACGATTCTAATAGCATTAGGTATTATATAATTTGAAAAAATAAAGTTGAGGAAAAAGAGCAACGAAAATGATCAATGCTTTGAAATAATTATGAAATTTAAGAATTGCGGTCAAGTAAATACTGAAAAGATATGTGCACATTTTTATAAAATTGAAAAAAAAAAAGACGCTTGGACATTCTCACCACAGCAGAAATAAAGAGAAATCAATTCTAACAGAAAGTTTTTTTTTTCTTTTTTTTTTTTTTTGATATTAAAGGTCCGTCTTGATAATTCTTCCCTTCTTCTTCCACTTTCTCATCACAAATTATCTACGGTACGCAGTAATGTCCTATATATAAATTCTCAAATTAATAAAACACCCTTCGCTCCCAAATTATCCAAACTATCGTGCCATTAAGTACCTCACATTCCCTGATGGTGAGTTGAAAGAGACTTCCATAATTACAATCATCGAATCACGGTGCTAATTCTTCCACCAGCTGAATCATCAAATCAATGGTTATCAAATTACGGTCTACCCAAATGGGAAATGATACAAACTGAAATGGTACTATAGACATTGTCTATAAACATTCGGATGTTGTAATATCCAGTTAGCATTAACTAATATGAAACTTTTGCGCTATAAAACACATACAAAACTATTAAAAATTGGTGGAACGAAAAAGTGCAAACCAATTTAACATTAAAATCAAAAAAAAAAGAAAAAAAAATCAAAATGAGATATAGTTGACAGCCTGGGAAACAAAGATTTTATTTCTCTTTCTTTTGCCTTATTGCCCATCACACTTCCAACAGTCCACCAAATTCGTCCATTGCGCTGATAACTTCAAAAATCAATTATAAGTTATCCTCAATGTTAAACAACGATAATGTTCGACTTTCACTTGAGAAAAAAGAAACAAAAAAATATTACAATATGAAAATTTTGATAGCATTTCATCTTTCTCATTCTCGAAATTATCAAAGAAATTCCACCAACTCATTTTTTCATTATGAAAGAATAGCTATGGTATGATAATAATGCATATACACAGCTGCAAACCGAGAAACAATCCTTAAATTGCTGCTTTGTAATTTTGAAAAAGTGTAATAAATCGTTGGAAATTTACTTGATGAACGACAATTTAATAAATATGCATTGGATCGTGATAATCTCGGAAGAATGAAGCGCTCAATATTGTTGCAATAACTAAACGAATCAATCGCTTTTAGAAAAATGCATTTTTACAATAGCATAATTGAGGAGTGCACTATAAAGTTCTCTCGATAGTAACCTTTCAGGAAAGTTGAAACAGACTAATCAGTCCAAAATTCGAAACTCTATAGCTGATATCTATAGTATCTTTAGGAGTGAATGTGGCAAGATATTATTTTATAACTCACTGTTCCATTCTATCATACTTTTACAATGATTAAGTATTGTTCAATTTTTACATGAAGAGCGGGTTGACTGAAATAGGCGTAAGTACAACATGTCTTATGGGAAATTTTGATTACAAATGATATTTACATATATCAAAAATCTGAATCATTACCTGCAAGACGCATTTATCTGCATCCAATTAACCATCTCTTCATGTCTTCCTGTATAACTTTTTTCTTCTCTATTATCTAATGGGTGTTATCAGTAGTGTTCTGATTATTAAATCAAGTAATACACAGACATAATGTGTCAGGGGAATCAGCAAATTAGAAAGTTAGGGGCAACATTTCGTTCAAATACAGTTAAAATATAAATAACTAAAGTTAGGTTAATAATTATTTACTGATATTATTTGCTGAACTATTTGTATAATTGCATAACTTTTTGGAAGTCTCGATATCCTACTGTTCAGCGTTATAAAAAGCAGTTTAAGATAACAATACAATATCCTGTTGTACATCATCCATAATATTGGTAAGTTTTTACTCAGTCGCATAACGGATGACACTATTTGGCAATGGAATCATCATCAAAAAATAAAGTTTGCAAATAAATCTCTCAAAAACGTTAAACACGCCTGAGCACTTTATTAAGTTAATTTGGGCCGAAGTTTTTGAAGCCTTGTTGCATAAGTGATAGAACCTAAAAGTTTAAATCTAATTTAGCTCAAACCTTAATCATGACATGTATTTATTTTAGCCTAAGACGTCAAAAAAAAGTGCAGCGGACTAAAATTACATGAATTCTTTTCATAAGGACCCAAGAATTAATTAATAAGTCTATGACCATCCATATTTACAAAAGCATATTATTCCTGAGTAATTAATGTGAAGCTAGTGAAAAGATTCTCTTTTGACTGAATGACCATAATCCACCATATTCCAAAACAATGAAAGATTTATTTTTACTGCATCTTTAGAAACGTGAAAAAAGTCCTGGAGATCACATAAGTTCAAATTAGGAGAACTCCAGACTTCAGGATGTGTTACCAATTTCAGGATATCACGTCTGAGATCATGAAATTAGCAAATGGCTTAGTGCAGTAAATTAGAAAATGATGCAGTCAAAACTGAATGCTGACGAAGAATTTTTCAAGGAAGAGAGCAGAATTACTAAGTTTTACTTGAGTTAACAAAGTAAATAGTATCGTAAAAATCAAGGAATAAGATACAGATAAGCGCAATAGTGAAATCGACATTTTCAAATAGCACTGTTTTACATTTTGATAGTTTGGATTCAGGGAACTGAATGTACGAGACAGCGGATAGATTGACAAACAGACGAAGGAATTTACTAGTTTTAAAAAAGGAGGAAACCCACTAGTTTTTTAAAAAAAAATCTTTTAAAAAAAAAAATGTATTTACAGTAAACACAAATTGTTCCGCGAATTAAACATTGAAATGATGCAGAAATATATTTGTGAACAGAGTAAAAGAAAATATTAAAAAATATCTGATTTGAGAGAAATAATTTTATATCATTAATTTGCATATCGGAAATGAAATATATTCGTAAAAACGTTCATGTTTATAAATCAATCATCGTTTGAATTTTCAATTAAACTCTTAAAAAAATTTAAATCCAACACCTAATCTGAATTTTATTAATCGCTCAAGAAAATTGAAACAAGTTAAAGAGGAGGGAATCGGAAATCATAACCATCCTTCCAACAATATTATCTTTGACCTGATTACTTGATCTAACTAACCATATCAAATCATTTCCATATTATTTTACTTCCTCGCTTAAAAGGTAAAAGGTAAGGACTGATATTTTTAAAGGGACAAATAGATCTCCATATATAGATTTTTCTTCCACCCATAAGGCAATAGCTCATAAGCTATTTCCAAATTTTGATAAGCCATTTTTGATGGTAGTGAACATTCTGAGCATTTAAAGTCAAACCTTTCGTAAACTGGGAAATTTCTTGTATAAAACATGCAGAAGATAGGGGCATTCCATGAACAAAATACCACGAAAAATTACTCTTTATCTTAAAAAATAAGACGAACTTTGGGTAAAACGACAAAAAACAATCTCACCGGACATAATCTCTCTTTCCCGAGATTGCGCTTTAAGGTAGTATTCCACCAATATTCTTTTCAGCTTATTTTCAAGCTCCGTTTCACTTATTTCTCTTCCTTCTTGCTCTTTATATCACTATCAAAAATAATAAGGAAGTTTCCACAAATCAAAGGCAGAAATGATAAATATACGCTTACAGATAGGCGTATATTTATCAGATAGTTCAAAAAATTACAGATAGCTACAGATAGTTCAAAAAATTTACAATTTTTGCAAGCAAGAATCAGATCTACGAGCAAAGTACAATTCATACATGGAATTTCTCATACAATTTAAATATAAATCGGGACGAGAATTGAATAATGGGACTCGACAGAAATGGTATGTCAAGAAGTCATAAAATTTACGCCAAGAATTTAATGAAAAAAAAAAAGAAATAATCCATCCAGTGGACATGGAAGCTTTTCATGGCGCAAACAGTTAGTTACATGGAAATGTTCAGGAAGCATGCAATGCGAAAAAACATAAATCATTCACAAAAAATTAGAAGGAGGAAAAAAGTCACTGAATACGAAAACATAGAAGGGAAAATAGAGATACGAATAGGGAAAAAAAACATCTGCTATGTAAATTATAGTACCACTTTTTTTGCATGTACTATTTAAGATCGACGAAAAAAAGCAAGAAAAAAGAAAAGAGCCATCAGTTAAAAAAAGCTTTAGCTACTTATATTTCCTTGAGTAGCAGACACACACTAACAATTATCACCATCCAACCATCCATTATCATGATCATTATTGCTGTTGTTATATGGCTATCATCATTGCTATCAGCATCACGAAAAGTAAGGACACAACATCCGGTTAAACCCAGTGTTTTTTTTTTGGTTATAAGGAAGAAGATAAACCAAAGCAGAAAAATATGCATCTGGTATGAAATAAGTATCGTGGAAGCATCCGCTTCAAAAAGATAGTATATATCCATTCCTCATCTCAATCAGGGATCCAATAATGAACAATTACATTTTGACAAAGCACTTGAAGATAGCCGAACATAACATCGCAGGAAAATCCAATACGGTGAAGACGATAAGAGGGACTATCGTATTGAAAGGGAATTATTCATCAGCACAAATTTACATTAAGGAAAAAAGTGTATTAAATTTCAGAAGGGGTATTAATGAATCGGACATACGAAGAAAATAATTAGATCATAAAGTTGCCGAAAGCAGATAACCATTAATTCTGATAACAGTTATTTTACCAGGAATAGTGCGGTTTAAAATATGAAATGCTGCTTCATATTCAATGATTAAAGACCTCTTTTTATGCAAAAACTGAGCAGAAATTTGATAAATGAAACTTCGTTTAAAACTAAAACTTGAAGGACTCATGAAATTACATTCACTGTATTTTTAAAACCTCCAAGTACAGTAAAAACCATTATACAGTCTCATAAAACAATTAATTTTTTCTGAGATCAGCACTTTGTAGTCTCACTTTAAAGAATAACGAAACATAAATTTCGTAGAAATTTTTTTCTGGACCAAAGATTGCAAAGTTGACTCCACCTGCACAATTCATAATTTAATACTTAATTCAATCATAATCTATTTTAGTCTATGAGCCTATTCCCAATTTTAGCCTATATCATCGCCATATATATCAAACACTTCTGTTCATTCCGTTATCGATAACTGCTATCAAAATTATTACGAAAGTCTTTGTTACTTCAGCACTTGTTAACTCTTGCAAAAATTATGCTCCACTGTTCAGTAAAAAAGTGTGTACTCTGATGTTAAGTGAAAAAAGAAAAACTAACCATATTATGCATATTGCTCATATCGATCTTTTGAGGTCCAAGGGAAGAAATAAGGTCGCAACAGTAGTCGGTAACTGTCAGATTTTTACAGTATGAGAATGCTTCAATCCATCTTTGTAGTTCATCGTTTGACAACAAGTTCATCGCTATTTCTGATGAACCATCAGCTTCAAAAAGGAAATCATCAGTAATTATTACAGTTTCATAAGAGGAATCAATTTTGGGAAAAAAACTGAAACTGAAGAGGACGCATAAAATAGCCCCAACTAGGAAACTTTGTATATTTTAACTACAAGGTGGATCGAATAAAAAAAAATGGAAAAATAAAATTTTCATCTAATTTGTAAGGAGACAAAAAAGTTTGGATCAAGTTGAAGGACCAAGATGGCCTGAACTAAATAACTAAGCATCAAAAAGAAGTAAATTCATCTGAGTTAAGCAAAACATTAAAGAAATAAATGCTTAAGAACAAGGACTACTTCACACACAGTGACAAGTAGGATTTCGTGTTTTAGATTTTAAGCATATAAAATAATTTGAAAGGTTGAGGAAACACTATATAATGAATCATTTTCGGTGTTCCCACTTGCCTCTTTTTCTACCCCACTCTTTTCCCGTAAATTTCCGACGCTATCTTCATCTCCTCTTTTCGTTTCTCTTTTTCCTTTTCCAAAAGAAGTTCGAAATTGAAAAACCAAGTAAATAAATCATAACAAATACAAATCACGGCCTAACTTCTAGTACAATAATAAAAAATTTCGTTTTTCACCTCTGACAAAAAGCAAAAATGAAAGAAAGTTGAATAAAACCAAGTGTTGAGAAACTTATAGGTACTAACCTCAAGTAACATATGGTGATGTGAAAATGCATAAAGCAGTAAATTTTTCTTGCTCTGATAACCAGGTTGTCTAAAAGTTAGGAACGCGCATATCTACTGAGATCTATGATGCTAACCACTAAGTCACTTCGATTAATCTACTGTTAAGGTTAATTTTGAAGAAATACCATTGTAAAGAATCAGTGCTGTTTTGTTCTCCGCCTTCTTTAAAGTCAGCTTGTCAAGAGAAATTTTCTTCTTCATTATATAAGAATTTACATTTGAGGTGATTTCAAGAATAAGTATTGCTGTTGGGAACAATATTACACATCTGAAATCAAATGAATAAATATAATTACTTCCTCATTTATTTCGTTTATTTACTTATTTACTTCCCTATTTAGTTCCGTTTATTTACTTACATCCTTTAATAAATATAATTACTTCCTTATTTATGCGGACTTAAAATCTTTGCTGAATTTTAGTTGTTTTGTGAATTAGAAAAAATGCAAGTGTCCATTTTGTGGAGACAAAAACAGGAAGGACAACTCGAAATAATCAGTAAAATAATACATCTATATTAAAAATAAGGTCAAGGATGAATATATACAAAATCTGTTCCATATTACTAACGTGAAATATTCTGAGAGGCAGTAAACCTAGTAACAATCAATAATTATTGCAAAAACAAGACCATGGTCACCTTATTTCTTTTTGAAGAATTCAAAAAAAAAGGAAATCACCTATCACAAGACAGTTCTTCTTCGGTAGAAGCCTTTACATCATCTACAGAAACAATACTCATGTATAAAATTTCCCCGAGTTTTTTCAGTTCCTCCGATGACAAACCATCAATGGAACCAGAAGTGAGTAATTCCAACTGCATCTCTTTCTGTTTTCGTAAACTTCCGCAGTAATTCTAAAATGAGTCTCAATGAAAACAAGTGAATGTTTCCTTGCTCAACACAATTTCCTGACTTATACTAATGTCGCTTATGGATGGTAGGTCACAAATTCATACGAACGAAATAACTGGATGAAATCTGCTTTGTTCGTATGGACTTCTTCTTAATAATTGAAAATCTAATAAGACAACAATAAAAGTTCTTGAACGGTCCGAAATTTAACCTCAACATACCGAGTCAACAACATATCTAAAATTTAAACTTTTTTCAAGAAACATAAAAAATATAAAACAAACGGCGATATCACGAAAGACGGCGGCAGCCCGCTGTGTATCACCTCGATCCGGATGTGCTTCATGCATACCACGCTCCAGTTCATTTAGCATACTCGGATATGTTTCCAAATGTCGGAATGGACGACTCAATCCGGATATCAAATCTTTCAGATGATAATCTATTTCATTTAGTATCTCTTCATAGAGATTCCTGAAAATATCATTTGAAAATGAGCCTCTAAATAGCCTCTAGATAGAATCTAACTAATTACATCCACCATACTATGTACTCACTACCAGATTCAATCAGTATTTTGACTTTTAATATCAGATTCCTGATCATGCTGTTTGCTAAGCACGAAAATTTGTACTTTTAACATATAAGGACCACGGTTGCTTTTCTCTTTCCTTCTGGAAACTTTTATTTAGCCAAACCTTTCATGGAGAGCCTACTTATTTCTAAGGATGAGATCTACTGCCTTTGGATGATTTTGGCAATAAACCCTGAGAAGATGTCGCAAATTTGGTGCTGCTTTTAGCAACAAACCACCAATTCGAGCATTGGTCGCATCCTTTTCAGCAGCTTCTTTGATATCACATAATAATTCGCGCTGATGAGTAATTAGAAGCTGCAGGTTTCCGGCAAGAACTTGAAAATCCTTCTCAGAAATCCTAAAAGTATGAAATTCGAAACCGGAGTCGAATATAAAATCCAATCCCGCTTGGGAACAAGTTTTTTATCACCTCTACATTATTTCAGCTCTTTTATTTTCAACTGTTTCACAAAACCGATATCGCGATTTGACATATCTGTACATTCGATAGAATGTCACTGCCGGAATGATATGAAACTGCAAACAAAATAAGATCGAATAGTTAATTGAAAAAGATTAGATGAAGATATACTTTTTCGAATCCTTAATTTTGGCCAATGTATCGTCGTTAAATTTTGTGACACTATCGACATATTTTAATTCCGCTTCCAGAAAACTTTTCATTACCTGAAATTAGAAATATTAAACGCACAGATTCCGATCAAATCTCGGTGCAAGTGCTATGAGCAGTGTATTAGAAATTTCATTTTTACGAGGCACACTAGTGATATCAACTATAGTTACAAATTACTGCATTGATGTCACATAACGTGGTTCAAATGCAGAGTGATAAGATATCACTAGTATACTCAGGAACAGAATCTGAAAAAATTATGTTGTCAGCTCTTTAAATGCACGCTACAGTATCAAAAGTTTTTCGATGTCAAGTACTGAAATTATGATCTCACTTATCCTGTAACTGATGTTTATTGGCAATCTCGGTAACATTTTGATAACTTTTCAATGCCGTAATATATTTCAAGCTATAATAAACAGCAATACACGACTAGAGTTCTAGCAAAAGGAAGCGTTGCGTTGTACTTTCAACTATAAAAATGCGTAGAACACTTGCAAAACAGAAAATCAGATCACCACCATATACTGTAAGCAACGAAAAGTTCTGTGGAATTAAACGCTTCAAACAACACAGAAAAGAGCATAATATCCCTATGACACCAATGTTTACCTGTTCCCGATAAGCTTGTCGACTTGTGTCACTGGAAAAGAGGGGTGTTTCTTTTGTTCGACCGGATGATGGGCCATCACCATTTAACATTGCAGGTGCATTACTTCGAGATCGCAAAAACCTTTCTAAAGCAATTGTTGCTCTGAAGAACTGCTCATATAAACTTGTTCAAAGTGATTCATAATCAATAAAGTCCTTTAAATCCAAAACTTTCTAACGTTGTACATTGCACCTGACGTCATGTAGTGAGTAACCATAATGAATTCTTAAAATAAAAATTAAAGTATTCAGTTTCTAGTGACAAATCGGAGATTAAATTAAAAATATATACCGGATTGCGATATTATGTTGACGTAATCCGATGGGAACCATCCGGTATAGGAATGCAGCGTTCCTTCCCACCAACCACCTTCCAACTGTTGTGTGACAGTGATAACATCACCTTTTCGAAATGAAAGCTGAAAAATTAATTGAAAATTATGTTACGAAAATTCCAACTTTTAATGCCATCAAGATCCACCAAACGATAATCAGAGAATAAGGATTTATTAGAAAGAAAAGAAAATGAAGACCTCAAGTAACACAACTTTTCACTTTATCTGGACATTTAGAACATGTACACATGATTTTCACAGGTGTGTGAAAAAAAATATAGTTTAAAAAAACGTAATGGAGTATATTAGTTGTGCAAAAAATTCTACTCCCCAGTAAGATGAGACTACGAGACTGTTATGTAATCGAGCAAGTAAAGATACACAAAAACAAACTTAAAATGCGTGTTAAGTAAAATAAGGTAAAAGCAAAGCTATTTCAAATAGTAATATTTGGCTTATCAAATAGCATTATTCGAAAAAATATGTATATTAAATATTTGAAAACCACATTCAGTTGAATTAAAATCGTAAAAATCAAAATTACTTGGAAAATAATATTTAAACAAATGAAAACATAAAAACGAATAGTACATGAAAGGATACCTCGTCGTTGTTTCGTCCTTTAAAGGCATGCTTTGCTCGGGCATATGTGGTTGAAGTTTGTTGGGCAGTGAGAATACTATCGGATGATGATGGAATAATTTCATGAAATCGCTCACCGCTGCTTCCCATTAAATGATCAAAAATACTCCTGAAATTCATTTTTTCTTGACGTGACAAAAATCAGTAGATGATGTGCTTCTTTTTTATTTTACAGATAAAAAATCGGTTAATCGATTCGGTTTTACTGGAAGAGGCAAAAAGACCGTCGAGATAACCTAAAATTAGGCATATCGTCCTAACCGACTGTTATACTACTGACCCATTTTTACTGAATAGTATACTAAAAGGTTTTTCAAATCTAATTATCAAGGTGACAAAAATCAATAGATGAAAAATCATTTTAAGGGAATCAGAAGCAAATTCCCAAACTTGAGTTTGTTCGAGAAAGAGTGCATACGTTGAGGAAGAACGTCCACAGAATGTTTACGTAGAAAAAAGGTAACGTGGGTTTTAGCTTTTCACAAAAGCACTAAACTGGCTCTCAATAAACGCAATTACCGTATAGTCTTAGTTATTTACTGAAATGTTTTGGATTAAGATTTCGGGATCGCAATATTAGGAATTTCACCCATGGTCCAAAAATTGATAAGTTATTTATTACTATGTATGTGTCGTTGTCTTATTATTATTTCATTTATTTCGATACATATTTAAATATTTTCCCCAAATTCGAATTTTAAATTCTTGACTGATATCGATTAATCCATCGAACAACCAGTTAATCATCATCTTAAATGATCATCTTAGAGCAGCAACCATGCAGAAACACTTTGTTATTCGGACAAATCTTATGGAATTAGAGAATGAATAGTGGATCAATCTGTTGACCAGTACAATACGTCCTGATGGACATCACAACATCTGATATCAATCTTTGATTATTTCTCTGTTTACAGCATCCTTCTCTCTTTCCATTCCAAACTGCACCCTAAGCGTGTACTTATTTGCTGTGTTATTTTATAAATCCTATCATCTTCTGCACTATCCTTAACTGTTGCACTTTTTTGTCATGCTATCCCATCCGCATTCTCTCCAATCTAATCGATCCCTGACCCCATTCGAACATTTGTCAACTTTTCATTCTACAACTTTGGCACAAGTTTTATTTTCTCTGGGGAGGTAGTTTCGAGACTGTCATTTCAGGGATTATTTGACACTTCGAATTCCGATATTTTTCAAAGGATGATTATGGTTTTCGTAGTGTGGGAAACATTTATTAAACGTTGAACACGTTTCTTTCTGCCTTTAAAGTGAACAAAATGTCGTTAGTAATTTCTGTAATTTAAACTGCGCTACTTTTACGTGCTTCAATTTAAGCGGGCACAGTAGGTGCTATAATCTGAGAATTACCAGACCATCTATCTTCGGCATCCGAATAAACAGAACAAAATAGATATGAAACATATATAAGTGAGCAAATGTATGCTTTCATAAACGAAAAAACTGTTTTGTTGTGTAGCTATCGGGAAATTCTCTCAATTCAGTATTAAACAGTCAATATCTTTTATCTTCAACATATCATATATGACTCCCTTGAAAATGATGACGCAACGTCTGAAACTTTATATACTACACTGCGGAATTTTGAAACAGCTAATGTAACGTCTGAAACTTTACGTAATTGAAACGTAATTAAAACTAATGCGACGTCTGGAATTTTACGTGAAACACTGAGGAATCTTGAAAATGTTAGTGTGCCGTTTGAAATTTTACGTAAAACATTGGCGAATCTTGAAAGTGCTAACGTAGAAATACTAACGCCTGAAATTTTACGTAAAACATTGTGGGTAAAATGTAAAACATAATGTAACGAATATTTGTAATCAATGAAACACAATGAACAAAAATAGGAGAACATCAAACAAAATATCGAAGTCATCCTCAGCTACACACTTTACCATGTCAATTACTACTATATCAATGAGGTTTTGCTCGAAGTTTACTCTTTCGTATCGAACAGACCGAAGATTAATTATTCATTGGTTGCATATGGTCGTCTTTTCGTGACCGCGCAGTAAATTGCGAATGATGTCAGTTTAGGCTGCGGTGGCATCAGATAGGTGGTTGTGTCGTCGATTGGTGGTGTAGGTTGTGTTTACTCTTTGAATCATTAGATACATATATACTGGTATGTTGCTGTTGCATATGTGTATGTGTACGTGTACGTCTATGTGCTTTCATGAGATATGCACGACACGCTTATGACTATGTGTGACATATGTACGTTTGGGTATCTGCATGTATGTTGATTGTATGTTGCCCACGTATGAGTACGAGTGGAGCCATGTACAAGTACGTTTGTCATACGTGCTCTACATATCCCTATTCAAGGATTGCATGTAATACGCTGACATCCGAGAATGTTTATATTGGGGTAGCTGTGCTCTTTCATGGACATTTTCATGAGTCTGCGCATATGTGCATATATGTGTTTGTGTGCACACGCATGTATATGTTGGCATCTTCACGGATACGTCGATAGAAGCTTAGGTATGGATATGTGTTGATGTGCTCCTCATTGGGATTGTATGTCTTTCTGTGTCTCTGTACGCATGCCTGTTCGCGTGTGTGTATGAGAGGTTATGTGTGTTACTTGCGTGTCTTTTTGTGTATGTGTGCATTTGTCTCTCTGTGTTGTTTAGATGTTCATATCTGTGTGCAGTTGTAATGATTCAACGCCGATTGAAATTCACCACTTTTGAAATGTCGAAAATTCGACAAGTCGGAGAATAGTTTGTACGATTTGTTATCACATCACTTGATATTCGGAATTCAGGGCAGCCGATTGTTACATTCATCCATCCGTTTGCAGCTATTTGCAGGAAGTGGTTTCATCTGTTTTCACACTAAACGCGAATTTTTTTCGTTTGGTTCGGTGATCCTGTCATGACTGATGCCAATCAACAGTATGTGTGTCTGATATTTTTTAAAGGAATATTTTTTATATGATTTAATGTTGTTTCTTATGCACATGTTACGCAAGCAGAATATGTCTGCGCAAAATACTTTGTATGCTACTATCTGTACAATTTGCAGGCAAAAACATGTAAACGACGGTGAAGTCGCTGGCGCCCCTGCGCCGACTCAGGCGCCTTTGGATTCTGATGGTCTTATTGAGGTATTATTTATTGGGTTTATTTATGGTTACGGGATATCTCATTAATGGAAGAGAATCTTAGCAGTTTGTGGTTGCAATAAACTGAGTATTTCATTTACAGAGTAATTGGGAATATGTATGCGAAAACTTCGATGAAATGGGTTTGAAGGAAAACCTTCTTCGTGGTATTTATGCGTTTGGTTTCGAGAAACCGTCCGCTATTCAGCAGCGTGCCATTATTCCGTGCACCAAAAGTGAGTCAGAAGACGAAAAGTATGAAATTAATAAATTAACGATGTAAAACTGGAACTTTCTGTCATAGTTATCGCTGGGTGAGATTCAGAGATGGAAAGAGGAGGGCGAATTTGCTAGTAAGAATTCAAGGTTCAAATATATGAACTTTGCGTTTTTTTCTTCAACATTTTTCAACGGACGGATTTAACCCTCCCCCCCCCCCTTCTCCCACACTCCCATATTACATACTTCCCATTTATATGTAACAACTCTGATTCTCGAGGTCCCCTATCGGTTTATTTCATGGGATGGGATGTAGGAACAAGGGGTTGAGTCATCAAATAGGAAAAACTTGGATGCTTAGAGAGCGTCATGTAAAATTCAATAGTTAGCACTTTTTAAGGGAACTACTGATTAGAGTCTTTTGAATAGGATTTTTGGATCCCGAGTAATAGAGTGCATTTCCGAGAACTGTGTAAAAAGTTTTCTGGAATTATTAGGTTTAGTAGGTTCCGGTTTGCTTTACTTTTTAATTTTTCCGCTGCAGAGCGCGACGTCATTGCTCAAGCGCAATCTGGAACTGGTAAAACAGCCACTTTTTCGGTAGCAGTCCTCCAAAATATTGATGAAACTATTCCAGAAGTTCAGGCTCTTGTGATGGCACCAACTCGTGAGCTTGCACAACAGGTGTGCTTTTTAACTTCAATGATTTTGACAAGGCAGAAGAGAAATAGCGGGATTTTTTAGATATATTTTTTATAGCTAGGTTAGCGATAGTAGTAACCTTGGCCCTAGGTTTATGGAAAGGAAGGAATTGGCATGTAGTCATAGTTTGATGCGGTAGTAAAGAATTTGCTGGGTGGAGAATAGCGCATTTAATAGCTAGGAAGTAGGAAAACAATGAAACGTTGTCATATAAAGAATTCTTGGAACCATAAAATTTAAAATGGAATATGTATGCTTGGCCTATGCAGAAACTTTTCGAGCGATGACGATATAACTTGCCCTCACGGACTAAGAAGTGGCGATGTTATGTTTAGCATCTGAGCTCGAAATTTTTAGTTTTGTTTTTTGTTAACCTAAATTTCAACAAGGAAAAGTATGTTTACTGATCGTACAGCAAAGAGATCGCATTCCAACACCTTTCACTATGTCATGTTTTATGTGGGATGGACAGTGTTTATCCATTAGTCAGGGGAAATAAGGAAATTGCAGCTCCAGTTTATGCAATCGCCTATTATAATTTAGATACAAAAAGTGATGCTATCCTTGGGTGAATATCTTGGTGTGAAATGTCACGCATCAATTGGTGGTACAAATGTTCGTGATGATCAACGTAAATTGGAGTCTGGTGTTCACGTTGTGGTTGGTACACCCGGCCGTGTTAATGATATGATTACACGCCAGTCTCTCCGTAAGTTATAGACGTGCTGAACTTGTTCTCTCAGTTAGCTTTACTATTAAAGTGCAGGAGTGGTAGGGTCTGAAATCGATATTTGGTAAAATATCTCGGAAATTTTCGAGGGTTTGGCGAAAGTATATTGGTATCAAGTACTAACATATTGGATCGACGAAATGTATAGTTCTGTTTGGGGAACTATTTATTTTACAAATATTTTAGAAACCAATAACATCAAAATGTTCGTACTTGATGAAGCAGACGAAATGCTTTCTCGTGGATTCAAGGAGCAAATTTATGACGTCTTCAAATGTATGCCGAATGATGTTCAGGTGACCTCGCTGCCATTTTTGCTTATGTTCTTCAAATAATTTTAAAGTGACACAACTTTTCTTTTAGGTGGTACTCCTTTCGGCTACGATGCCATCGGAAGTTCTGGAAGTAACAAACCGTTTCATGAACGATCCCATACGTATCCTAGTCAAGAGAGAAGAGCTTACCCTGGAAGGCATCAGGCAGTTCTACATAAATGTCGAGAAAGAAGCACGGCTACTTTCATTGATTTTACAGCTTAGCCATATGTGAAGATTGGCGTGATGAGAGAATGAGAGCAGGGCATTTTGCTTGTTTCACGTAGAATTGTTATATATTGTAACATAGTTTTCATAAGGAGGCGAAACCGGCTTGATCGCGCAGTTAGTAAAGGATGCACAGGATGAAAGAAGTAGTTTGCTTAGAAACGAGTAATTCTGGATATGTACATGCATTTGTTATCAGGTTAGATGATAATAGAATTTATGGAGTTTAATTGACTTCATTAATCCTTTACCACATAAATTTATGACAGCCTATACACACCCAGAATTGTTGGTCTTGGTATGTTTAGAAATCGATTAAATAATTTACACTTTTACTCTTCAACTGAAAATATTCCAGGAATGGAAATTCGAAACACTTTGTGATTTGTATTCCACAGTTAATGTGACTCAGGCTGTCATCTTTTGTAATACTCGCAGGAAGGTTGATTACCTTGCAACTCAAATGAGTAAAGAAAAGTACACTGTTTCCTGCATGGTGAGTTTGTCATTTCAAATGTTATGGGTTTAAGTCCAGTGTTGTTTTTGCATTTCTGTTGTCATGAAAAATCAAAAGCAGGATAATATTGATCCTGCTTTTGATTTTTCAGAAACATGGATAATTTTACCAGTGACATTGCATTTCCTTATCCAAACCGAGATAATTTTTAGCATGGTGAAATGGAACAAAGTGAGCGTGACGTGATTATGCGCGAATTCCGATCAGGCTCCTCCCGTGTTCTTATTACTACTGATTTATTGGCACGTGGGATTGATGTTCAACAAGTTTCACTGGTCATTAATTATGACCTTCCAAGCAATCGAGAAAACTACATCCATCGGTGAGTCATCCAAGATTATATGTACAGTTTTGCTTCTGAAATTTGGGGTTTTTATATGGTCGGGATAATTTTAATGATAATATTGGTGAATATTTCCTTTATTCTTGTAAAGGCTTTTTGTCATATAGCTGATATTATTAGAACGACATCCTTCGGCATGTTTGCTTGAAATGCCATTGCTTGCTCGCTGCTACAGTGAATTAAAAAACTAAAAAGGGAAAATGGACCCGAACTGAAATAAATAGTATAAAATGATGGCGAGGAACATAGGTATTCAGTAAATTGATAACTCTTTTTTAGAATCGGACGATCGGGACGTTTCGGACGAAAGGGTGTAGCAATAAATTTCATAACGGAAGCCGACATGCGAATGATGAAGGATATCGAGAGCTTTTATAATACACAAATCGAGGAAATGCCTATGGATATTGCAAATTTGCTTTAAAACCGTGATAATGATATCCTGATGGCATTTCTGGTACTATACTATTACTATTTGACTATTCCAATGCAGATTGCAATTATTGTTGTGATTCAGTGATCGGGCTGGGCTCCTTTGTACTTTATCTGGGTTTATAGAACTTTAATCCCAAATTATTTCCGAATAACCTTTTTTTTTGATGCCTTTGTTATAATGCCTCCATAACATTTTGTTTTCTGCCATTTCTCTCTTTGATTGCTGTTTTCGTGCGTTAAGGATCCAAGAGTGCTTTTCAGGACTCAAGATTAACTTGTTTGTATTTTTAGGAATTGATAGCGTTGTTTCAAATTGTTTTCGTAAAGGGAGGTAATACGTCATATTCCTCCATTGTTCTTGTTTTTCATTTCATTCTTTTTGACCGTTTCGTTGGGTTGGACGATAATTTAGTGAATTAATTATTGTATCGTTTGTCGAGCCTGTACTGACTGTTGCTGTTTTTTAAATACAATTTTTGTTTCTCATTTGTAGTTGAATAATTTGGGAAATTGTAAAATTGCGAATTCAAAGTAGGACGATAAGTGCTGGGAAATCTTCAATCAGTACCAATGTTGGTTTTGTCTTCAGTTAATCTGCGTTCTCATTCAGTCAAGATAAACAAAGGTAAAGCTGCATTGGTTATGGTTTGTGTTCGACTATTTTAGCAAGGCTACTGAAATTCGCGGCGATCCAAATTTTTGCCTTATTTCAAGAAGTTGGACTGGGAAATGGTATTTGCCCCATATAATCCTGTTGATGACAACATCAAAACACTTATGGGTATGACGACAAACTTCCTGTCGAGGAGTATTATTGTTTACAACGGAGTACTGCAATATATTCAATTCGAATATTCAGAAACATTTCAATCATCAGGAGTCATAAATTAACCTTTAAATCGTTACAGGAAATTTGAATTTACTCAATTCTGATATAAATTTTGCAGTACATGCTATATAATGAACGAATAAATGAAATGAGAATTTTCATGCCAATCGGAATACATCAATATGACCATGTCTATTATATGTACGATTTTCATAGCATCTAATAAGCTCATTTAGAGTGGATAAAGTTGGTCCACCATGTTCGATGTAATAACTTCGAATTTTGTATTCTTTTTGTTTTGTGCTACTGAAAATTCATAAATACAAATATTGGATTAATCATTTCCGATATTATCTCATCTATTCTAATTTCTATTTCAATTAATTTCATCATAATTAGCTGTAATTAGAGAATTTAGTTTAATTAACAGATATATTGTTATTTGAAGTTTATAAATTAATGAAAAGAAAGATTAACGATGTAGCTGTAGTAGTACTATGCTACATCTTTATTTTAATTATTCAATTATTTTATATTAGATTCAAGTGTAAAATTAGTTTATATCAATGATAGATATTTGATTTTAGTATTATTTAACAGTTCTATCAATCATATCACTTTTAATAGTTCGATTTTTTTTTTAGAACTAAACTAAATCCTCTGATTTCAGTCTAATTTTGATGAAATTAAATAATTGAAATAGAAATTAAAATAAATGAGATAATTTTGAAAATGATTAATCCATTACTTGTTTTCGATTATTTCACCCATTGTTCGGACAAGCCAATGGAAAAGATCACCAGCCGATGAACGATATACTACTGTAAGTGGAAGACGATCAGTATCATCCAATTTAATCTAAAATCGAATTCATTTAATGATTTTACTCAAATGCAAAAATGTAACTAATCTTTAAAAAAAAAGAAGATCAAAACAGTTAAATTCTGGAATTTTAGAAAAATTTTTCAAAATTAAGCGGACTATAAAATTCAAACAGAAATCATCAAAAATTTGACAAAAACGCTGATAATTTAAATTATTTTTTACATATAAATTTTTAATACAAAAATTTTTTTTGAATACATTTATGTTGAATTCAAATTTTAAACAATTGAAATAAAATTCGCAAGCAAAATTTATTAAATGAAGAAAATTTGCTCAATTTGCATATTACTCTAATTCAGAATTTGCATATTACTCTAATTTCAAATAATAATGGAATAATTTATCTTACATCTAAATAAAAAATAATTTGAAACTATCTGTCTTATTATTTGGGACAAAAAAAAAAAAAAAGAAAACAACGTTAGAAATATATTTAGTACAATTAGTTGAACTAAAATTAATAGATATTTAAATTGATAATTGTAGCAAATTTTTGATCAATTTAAGTAAAATCGATAGACAGAATAGATCAATTAGTCAATCAATCCATAGATAGAAATGAGATAGACAGATAAATTGTTACAGTATAAAGCAAATAATAAAAAATTATTTCAACTTTAAATTATCAAAATATTAATTTAAATTCATTAGAATAAATTTGAAAAATAAATTGTAACAATGAAAATGATTAAATGAGTGTTACAGAATTATCCCATTGATGATACAATCGAAATTCTGTTGGATAATAAACAAATGATTCAGCTTCTTGTTTTGTACGAACACCAATATAACGCCATTTAGTAAATTCATTTAATGTTGGTGGTACAACTTGTGGTCTTTCAACTTGAATTTATTTTTTTATTTTTTTATTTTTATAAGAAGTTTTATTTAGTTTTTCATTTCTTTATTTTCAAAAAAAAGCAAAAAATAAAAAAAATCCGATAAAATTTTAATAATTCTTGCTAAAATTTTAATATTTTAAAAATTATCAAATAAATAATTTGAACAGAATTACAAAAATTTTGC